GCCAATCTTCCTGGTTTTTTTTCTTCTTCCACCACCAAAGCCCCAGTACATAATTGTGTATAGTTGTAAGATCTTCTGGTTCTTCTGTGTGAGCTGCTGCCACAGCACGGCTACTGACAAACAAGTGCTGTGGTTCTGCACTTGGCAACCGAACCCGAACTTTTAAACGCTAGGCCATCAGGGGGGGCTCTGGATTTTTTTTCTTGATATATAGGCATTCTTTTTTTTTTTTTCCCCAAAGCCCCAGTAGATAGTTGTATGTCATAGTTGCACATCCTTCTAGTTGCTGTATGTGGGACACGGCCTCAGCATGGCCGGAGAAGTGGTGCCTCGGTGCGCGCCCGGGATCCGAACCCAGGCCGCCAGCAGCAGAGCGCGCGTACTTAACCGCTACGCCACGGGGCCGGCCTATATAGGCATTCTTTACATATTCTGAAATAAGCTTTTGGTCAGTTCTAGGTTCCAGATCTCTCCCTCCACTCTGATTTGCCTTTTCACTCTCTTTTCTTTTTGAGGAAGTTTAGCCCTGTGCTAACATCTGTTGCCAATCTTCCTCTTTTTCTTTTTTTTTTTCCTCCCCAAAGCCCCAGTACATAGTTGTGTATCATAGTTGTACAGTTGTATCTCTTCTTTGTGGGACACCACCTCAGCATGGCTTGATGAGCGGTGAGTAGGTCCATGCCCAGGATCCGAACGGGCAAACCCCAGGCCACCAAAGCAGAACGCGCGAACTTAGCCTCTATGCCACCGGGCTGGTCTCAACCTTTTCACTTTCTTAAAAGTATTTTTTATGGCTAATGCATCTTGTATCCTATTTAAGAAGTATTTCCCTACCCTGAATTCATGAATATTTGTCTATATTGTCTTTAGAAGTCCTATGATTTTGCCTTTCACATTTAGATAAATTCCTCTGTCTGTAGGGTGCTAGGTAGAGGGTCAAGTTTCCTTCGTTCCCATTTGGATATCCACTTATTGCAGGCTATCTTGACCCTCCCCCTCTGCAGTGACGTTGGTGTAAATCAAGTGTCCGTATGCATTTCTGGGTTCTCTATTCTATTTCATTCCACTCATCGTACAAGTCCTTTGAGCAACTGAATAACCCTATAAGGAAAAGATAAGAAAATAGCAAAAAACTTTGTTGATTTTGGGGGTGAAATTGATAACTGGGTTAAGATATTAACTCTGCCATCACCTACTAGTCCTTTAACATTGGGGCAAGCTGTTTAATTTCTGGGCCCCGTTTTCTGGCCTTTATGTCTAGCTCATGGTAGTATAAGGATTAATGACAACAAACGTAAAGTGTTTATAACAGTATTTGCACATGGTAAGCATTCAATAAAGGATCTTAGAAGCCTTGTTACAAAATTTTTTGTAACTATGGATGCAGACGAATGTTAACTAGACTTATTGTGGTGATCATTTCACAATATACAAATATTGAATCATTATGTTGGAGACTTGAAACTAATATAATGTTATATGTCAACTATACCTCAATAAAAAAAAAAAGTAAAATAGCTACTGATACACACAACATTAGGCTGAGTGAACAAAGTCTTTCACAAGAGAATATATACTATAGGATCACTTTTATATGGCACTTGAGAACAGGAAAAGCTAATCTGATGGAAAGCAATTAGAAGAGTTGTTGCTTCCATAGGAGTTCAAGTTTAAATTTCCTGGGAAGAGGCATGAGGGAATTTCCTGGAGTGATGACAATCCTCTATATCTTGATAAGGAGTTTGAGTTTCACAAGCTTATGTATTTGTCAAAACGTATAAGATGATACTTTTACAACTTGTGCATTTCATTTATGTAAATTTTACCTATAAAATAAACCATAAACAAAGATTGAACTCTGGTTAAAAATCTGCATGCTAAAGTACAAAGGCTGAAGTGAACTGATGCCTACAACTTTGAAATAAAGCAAAAATAATGGATTAATAGATAGAAGAATTGACAGATGGATAGAAATGTAATAAAGCAAATATAGTAAAAAGTCTATTACAAAATCTAGGTAGTATATATGTAGGTATTCAGTGTAAAAATATTTCCACTTTCAGCATGTTTAAAGATGTTTACAATAAAACTATAGATAAATAGAACACATGTACATATAATGTAAGTTACCCTATATATGTAACATATTATAAATAAATTATGAAGAAAATGTTTGGCCATGGCAATAAATTAAAATAGCAGTCACAATCTCTAATCTGCAATTTAAAAACATTTAGTGCCACATGCTAGCCTAAATTGATATATAAAATCAATATTTTTATAGTATCAATATTAATACATTTTTGCAGTAAAAATATCAATGAGTTTGATTACAGGGTGCTGTCCAAGTCCCACTGGAGTGTCTGCATCTTACTTTATAAAAACAGATTTCTAAACTCTAAAACACATCTAGCCCCAGGGGCTTAGTAAGGGTTGTGGACCTAGACCAGCTCACAGTTTTGTAGCCTTGGGCAAGACACAATGTGCCTCTGGGTGGGCCTCAACCTCACATTAACAATATCATGTAATCCAATCAATGCAACCTTAAAAGGCATAAATAAAATGCGCTGAATGAAAGTACCTTGGAAGTTTGTGTGTAAACATAGGCTGTACATTTAAAGTTCTAAATGATGATAGTATTCTTTTTTTGTGTGTGTGAGGAAGATCAGCCCTGAGCTAACATCCATGCCAATCCTCCTCTTTTTGCTGAGGAAGACTGGCCTTGGGCTAACATCTGTGCCTATCTTCCTTCACTTTATATGGAAGGCCACCACAGCACTGCTTGACAAGCGGTGCCTCGGTGTGCGCCCGGGATCCAAACTCAGGCCGCCAGCAGCAGAGCGTGTGCACTTAACCGCTACGCCACAGGGCTGACCCCAGTGTGATAGTATTCTGAACCTGAGGTGGAATGAAGACAGGAAAATATTCTGCAGCAAACTGTGTTCCTCTAAAGGGACAGATTCTAGAGCGACACACACACACACACACACACACACACGCCATCTCCCTTTCCTCCATTCTGTACAAAAAGTAATACAAAAACTACAATCTAAAACTAGAATCAAAGATATCATCCCTGATCTATTACTGAGATCCGTTTACATTAAAAAAAAAGTCTCCTGATTGAACTAGTGTTTTGCCCATTGGACCATAAAAGGGAAACTTTTCTCTTTCCAAGTTTTTTGAAATTTCAGTCTGTCTATTAGCTCCTTGTTGGGAATCATGTAAAGGCAATGTGAAAGCAGTTAGGTCCATGCCCCTAACATCAAAGCCCACAGTCACTGGGGGCAGGCTTGTTGGGATGAATGTCCAATTAAGGCCTTCCCCTGTGAACCCCTGAGGTGTTATCCGCAGCCTGCTGGAGGGCTGGAGGAGGAGCCGAGCTCCATGAACATGTGCCAGTGGATTCCTATCACCAGTGGACTCTGCTTTAGAAGTCACTCTGTGGAAGGGTGCTTGTTGATCACTGTCTCCAAGGCTGGCTTTTAAGTCTAGCCCCACTAGCAAAACCATTGTCCCTCTAATAAGAACAGCTCAGGCCAACTTGATTTCTAAGGCCCACTCTCCAAGCGCTATGTCCTAGCCTTTGGACTGATGTGACCAACAGGTGAGGCTGTGGAGTGACGACCTCAGAGTACCCAAGTTCCAGATGAGTCTAATCAAATCTTCCCACTCATCCTCTCCCAACACCAGAGGTTCCAGTGGAAACTAGTGGTTAACATGCACTGAGTGCTCATCGTGTGCCAGGTACTGTTCTTTGTGCTATAAATATTTTGCCCTGACAGAGAGGGCCCACTATTGGCATTTTACACACGGGCAAATGAAGGCAGAGAAAACAAGGGGGCAGAACAGGGAACTGATCTCAGGCAGCGTGACCCCGGAGTTAGTGTGCGTAACCACCGACTTCTCAGCCCCGGGGGGAGAGCCAGGCTCTGCTGGGTTCTGGAAGCCGTACTCCAGACTTCTTCCCCCTGACGGTGGAGAGAGCTCTTGGTTTTGGAATAAAACCAGCCTAGTTCCAATGGGGTGCTTCAACTGTTAGTTTGGGCAGCTAGGCAACTAGTAAACTCACTTTCCTCAGCTACAAAACCAGGACCATGTGGCAGAGAGAAAGGGCCTGGGTTTTGGAACAAGACCCAGGTTTGATCCCCACTCAGCAAATCCTGAGTAATCCTACGTCATGCCCCCTAACTGTAGCCTCAACTAGAAAGGAAGCGGCTCCCCCCCGAGGGAAGGCGTTTGTGTGCGCATTGCAGAAAACTCTGCCCCGAGCAGAACTGGGTAGCTGTTAGAATAAGCGTCATGACGGGCTCTCCCTGGGATAGGTCTTCTCACAGCCAGGACCGAGAAAGATGTGTGGAGACGCAGGCAATACACAGGGCAGAGCAGAAGGTGAAATACTGGCCATGGTTTGCCAAAGCCGGGACCAGCAGGTGGGGGAGAGGTTCTCCTGGTGAGAGCAGACCCCTCCCCTTCCTCAGCCTGGCTAATCCAGTCCTTTCTCGTCGCAGACCCAGGGATCCAACTGGCCAAGTGTCTAACTGCTGAGTCTGAGCTACCAGGGCAGAAAGCACCCCAAAGACTGATAAGGCCGAACAATTCTAGCTTTGTTTTGGAAGGATTTGTCCCTGACTTTCCAAATGGCCTTTATCTGTGTCTCAACGTCTCTGACCTCCTCAGCCTCAGAGGAGCTAAACTATAAGATGCAGGTTGATGGGCAGGAGAAAGCAGGGGACGGGGAGCCCCTCTAGGCTCCACTTGCTGGGATCTCCCGCGGCCCGCGATGGGGTGGGGGAGGGCGCTCCAGCGGGGGCCAGGGCGCGCAGGGCGTTCGCTGCCCTGAGGGCACCGGGGACCGTCTAGGTTTCTCCCCGCAGCCCGGCCGCCTGTCTTTCTTCGGCGCAGCAGGCGAGGTCACGATGGGCTCATTAAGCCGGCAGGTAGGCAGTGCCCCGGCGGCGGCGGCAGGCGGTCCTGGAATGTGCGAGGGGCGTGCTGACAGCAGCTGCCGCCGGCCTCTTTGCGCAACACCTTCGCTATATATACACCCGGGCCGCTGCGCTCCACCTGGGTGCCTCGCTCGGTCCATTACCTGCGCAGGGAGCGCTGGTGAGTACCGCCGCTGGGGCAAGAGCGCTTCCTTCTCCCTTTTCGCTCTTGAAAGAACCTTAATTTACTTAATTCTTTTAGATATTCCTCGATGCTGACCTCAAGGAACTTGGCTGGCTTTGGGCTGCGGAAGAGAAAAAAAAATAAACCTTTCCCAAACTTTCAGATTTTTTTTTCTTAATATTACTGCTATTGCTATTATTACAACTCTTGTGACTGCTCTATTAACTACTGGCAGTGTTAATCAGCCACACTTGGGGATTCTAAAATTATAGATGTTTTGGGATTCGTGGTTTGGGGAGGAAAAATAGGGGAACATAGGAATCAGGACGACTGGGATCTTTTTGGTCACTAACTAGATGTGTGACCCAAGGCAGGCCCCTGTGAGCCCCTAGGCCTCAGTTTCCCCTCTTTACAAGAAAGGGGACAGAACCATCTCAGAGTCTTTGCTGCGCTGAAATTCTAAGTTTTTGTGGTTGCCCGGTGATGCGATGCCCCCTAGTGTGACTTCCACGTGTTCCTGTTCTTGCTTGCAGAGTTATTTATCTAAGGTGACTGGCTGCAAGATACCGTCATAGTTTGCTGGTCCCATCAGGGCAGGCGGCCATCAGCAAAGGGCCTGTCTTTGAGCGTGTCTTGGGAGAACAGAGCCTACAATTTCAGAGCCAGAGGGTACCAGGCGCGCTGGGGAAATGGCTTACAAGATGTGCACAGGTGCAGTTGGGTTGGGAGGACCCAGCATCTTCCAGGACAGAAAGAGGAGGCACATGGTATGGAGTTAAATCAGTCTTAAGATTCCCCGGGGCACATGCCTGGACAGGCAGCTGGTGCTGAGATGAGGTGAGTTAGAATCTCTCTTTTTTTTTTTTTTAAGGAGGAGGCAACTTTCTCAAACATGTTGATTTCATGGAGGCAGCGTGTGGATTTCACCACTTAGAATCCCCTCTCCCTGTTTAGGCTCGCCAAGCGATTTCTGTGTTAGCTCTGCTTGCTCCGCCATGTTTGTCTGTCTTTCCTTTTGTTCCCCTTTCTGTGCCAGCAGTTCTCTAACCTGTTCTGTGTTGAGTGTTCTTGAAAAAGAAAATGTTGTGCCTTATAGGATTGACAATTGTTTCAGATTGTTAAGAGTGTTTAAATCCCTTGGCCAGAGCCAGCTGACCAGCTGATAAGGATCTCTTCTCTATTTTTATAACTTTGCTGGCAAGAAAGGCATGCTTTGTCAAAGGCTGGGATGTTCAACAAATTGCCCCCTCCAAAATCCACTCCAAATCACTCAACGATCTCATTGAAAGTCCCCAGAGGTGGGAGGATGGCCGTCTGGGTTGTTGCTCTTAGACACAAAGCTGACATAAAAATAGCCTGAATTCAATTTAATGAAGAAAACAGCTTCTTGGGATCAGTGATTTGGAATAAACTTTTAATACCATTTTCAGCCACCTTCCACCTTGCCTTCCTCACACCACACCCCCACCTCCACCCTGGGGACAATGGCACTATCAGCAGGGAGTCATCAGGATATCCCAGGGAATTAATTCATCCTAATGAATTAAAAAATGCAAGAGTGAAAAAGAGGGCTGCAAAAGGATTGGAATATGGTTAAGATGTTTATAAATTAACCCTTTTAAGCCTCCATACAATGCAAAATAATTAATACACTTGCAAGTTAATTACGGTATTTATTTTGAAATATCATAAATACAAATTGAAAGTGTGCTATGAGGGTGTGATTTGGTAATAGAGCCCTAGTTTAAATCTATAGGATAAATGTCTTTTTTTTTTTTTGGCTTCCTTTTTGGTTTTTTTTAGGAAGATTGGTGGTGAGCTAACACGTTGCCAATCTTCCTCCATTTTCCTTTTTTTCTCTCAAAAGCCCCAGTAGATAGTTGTATGTCATAGTTGTACATCCTTCTAGTTGCTCTATGTGGGACGCTGCTCAGCACAGCTTGATAAGCGGTGCGTAGGTCTGTGCCAAGGATCCGAACCAGCGAACCCTGGGCCGTCAAAGCGGAGCACGTGAACTCAACTGCTATGCCACCAGGCCGGCCCCGATAAATGTCTTTTAAAAAATCCTATTAGTGCATCTCCCCAAAAGTCTAAACTAAAGCCATTCATCAGGGTAAAACCCAGGCCATCTGCTTCCCTGTCTCCTGTCCCACACACCTCCCTCCCACCTCCATATCCTTGGGAGATTATTTTACTTTGTGATGGTTAAAGGAAGCTGAAGAAAAGTAGTCATCGCCGTTTGGGGAATTTTTGACGTCTCTGTCATTCTTTCAAAGTATAAGAAAGTATTTCTTGAGCATATTGAGAACATCGGAGCCAGACTGCCTGAGTCTGATTTGTCTCTGAAGGCATAGTGTCTGTGGGACTTGAAGCAATTAATTTCTTTGTGACTCAGTTTTCTCTTCTGTAGAATGGGGATAACATTGGTACTTAAGTATATTTACTTACAAAAATACATAGGGGTCAGCCTGGTGGCATAGTGGTTAAGTTCACACGCTCTGCTTCGGCAGCCCAGGATTCAAGGGTTCAGATCCTGGGGGCAGACCTACACACCGCTCATCAAGCCATGCTGTGGTGGTGTCCCATATATAAAATAGAGGGAGATTGGCACAGATGTTAGCTCAGGGACAATCTTCCTCAAGCAAAAAGAGGAAGATTGGCAACAGATGTTAGCTCAGGGTCGATCTTCCTCAGCCCCCCCCCAAAAAAAAAACCCTAAAAAAAAAAATACATAAAGTGCATGTGAGGTTAAATGAGTTAATTTGTGTACAGGGCTTACAGCAGTGCTTGGCACAAAATGCTCAATAAACATTTGGCTGGCCACTGTACCAGAACTGTTTTGTGTGCTCTGGCTACAGAGGTCATCCTGCTTGTGCTTATGGAGGCCACGACCTGGTGGGAGAATGTGTGTGTGTCCCGGTCTCTCCGTGGGACACTGCCCCATGCTGCCTCCTCTCCCCACTTCTTCAGATGGCCGTGGGCTGCTGCTGTTCTGAGCACAGGCAGCCCCACAACAGGTCCTGGTTGGAGAGGCCCAAACAATGCTGAGTGTAGGGGTTGGGTGACTGCCAGGTGCCCTACATTTCCCTGCTACCCAGGTCTGAGAAGAGCCGAGAAGTTTCCTCTCCTTGGCCTGCAAGAGTTCCTCTTGGCAGTGGGTACACATGTGGATGCAGGAGTTTGAGCCAAAAGGGTTATCAACACAGCCAGCTCAATTGCATGGACAGTGGTGGGGAGCAAGGGAGCAGATGTGTCATCATAGCCGCTAATGTCCTGTCTGGGTGTTAAAAAACATCTTTCTGGGTATTAGTACCAAACTGCCAAAATGATGATTTTTCCTTTCCTTCTCTGCTTCTTCTGGCAGGTAGCAAGAGTGTGCTGGAGTACAGCCTTGGGGAAGGTGGGGAGAGGGAACAGCGAGATCAGGGGGATGAGAATGGTTCTGAGAAAGGCTTTGGAGGGGCCCAGAGGCTCCAAGACCCCTGGTAGTGCCCAAAGCTGCTCTCTAGGGAAGCAGGTTCCAGACAGGACAGTGTCTGCCACACCCCTGGGAGCAGTGGCCTCATATTCAGGCTACGTCCGCTGTCCAGCCCATTCAATGCTGCCTCTCCTAAAAGGCTTGGCATATGCCCAGTCCAGGTCTCTGGTATGCCAGAAGCCTTTGTAGGAACTCAGCAGCCTGTCATTACAGCATTCTTGGCTGGTGTTTCTAGCCTCTGAGTGACCTGGCAGGAGTGACCCCTGAAGAGAGACCAACCCTGCCAGCTCTCCCAGAAACCCCGGGAGCCCCCAGTGAGCCTGGGCCTGAGGCCCCTTGGTGCCCTGCTGCTTTGCTGGGGCCTGGAGGATTCGTCCTCCCTCTGTCTCAGCACCTGGCTATGAGGTCTGTGGAAAGGCCCCCCAACTTTGGAACCAGCAATCCTGGGTTCAAATCCTGACTCCATCCCTAGGTAGCTCTGGAACTTTCTTAATTTCTCTGTGCCTCAGTTTCTTTGAAAGCTGGAAAGAACTTCTTTTTCATAAGAATCAGTGAGGTCACAGATAGCATCAGACACTCCCCCATCATAAAACAAACGGTAGCTCCTTTATCGCACGTGCTTTGGGTTCATTTTTTGCACAAATATTTGCCGAGGGTCCACTACTGTGCTGAGCACTGAGATGAAGAGCTTGAGGTCAAGGGCAAAGTGGAGTGTAGGCCACTCGTTGTTCACGACACAATTCATTTCACAGAGTTCTAAGTGCTTACTCTGCCAGGCCCTGTGCTCAGGACCTCACCTACACTCGTTAATTAGTCCTACAACAGCCCAGTGAGGGAGATGTTATTGTCCTCATTTTTGAGATGTTGAAACTGAGGCTTGGAGAAGCTCAGGGTCACTCACAATGAGTGGCAGGACTCTGCAGACTGCGTGGTTCTCGCTCCTGGTGCTGTGTGCCAGGCACTATGATATCACCAGAGGCGGCAACTCCAGGGGCCTGGAGGAGCCCCTGAACAGCTGCCTAGTCTGATCATGAGGAGTTTGCTCCAGGACCCTACAGATCTGGACCTTTCTCCGGATCTGTAGGGTCAGCCTGCACAGAGTGCTGGGGCTTTGCTGGCCGGGAGGGCCGGGTGACTGAGTCCTTTGTGCTGCCCGCACTGCCGAGTATTGTGGTTGCGTGTCAGGTGCCCTGATTTCCTCTCTGCCCAGGTCCAGAGAGGAGCAGCTTGAGCTGGGGGTGGAGAGGACCAGGAGGGGAGTGGCCGGCGGTTTCAGAGAGCTCGGGGCTGGGTCAGCTGACTCTCCCTGCTGCCTGCCCGCCCTTCGAGGGGGCAGTGCTGAGGTGTGTGGCCCTGCACTTCCTCTCCTCACCTGCAGGCGTCAGCACAGCGAACACCCACAAATGATGGAGGAGGAGATGCATGGACCAGAAAATGAAGTGCTGTGAGAGGAAATAATTGCTTCATCAGGGAAGTGTTTATAAAGAGGAAATGGGCTTGTAACAAATGGTTGAACTCA